AACTTTCCTGTCTCTTAGAAGGTAAACAGGAAAGGAGTCAGTGTTGTGGTGTGTGGAGGTAAAGCCATCTCCTCCAATACCAGCATCCATAAAGGGAACAGTTCATGTCCTAGCTGATCTACTTCAAATCCAGCTCCACACGAATTCCCTGGAAAAAGCATGCAAAATGATCCAAGTATTTGGGCAGCTGACACACATGGCAGAATCAGATGAAGTTCCCAGCCTCTGGCTTCTACCTGGTTCAGGTCTGGCCATTGCAGCCAGAGTGAACCAATGAATGGAACACCTCTCTCTCTGTCCTCATCTCTCTGTAAGTATTTTAAGTTAAAAATAAATAAATAGCTGTATCAAGTATTGTCAAAAGTGAGACTCTCTGTTGCCTTTTTTGGAGAATTTTGATCGATGGATCTCAGAGCAAGAGAAGACCAAGAGGACCGTCTCTTCCTTGTAAGCCTGCAGGTAAATCAGCAGCTGTGTTCACATCACAAAACTGTAATGTCAGATTCTACAATGCTAAAGGCAATACCACCAGAAAACACAACCAATTAACAGGAAGATAGCGCTTCTCGATCGGAGATGCACAGGCAGGGGAAAAGGTTGATCATATTCTCCAGTCATGAATGCCAAGTAAATCAACACTGCCAAACAAACACAGAGACAAACTGCACCCCGCAGATCACCCTCACATCCACAGGTGTATAACAGACTTTAATGGATTATCTTGGGACTCCAGCACCACTTTTCACTTGTTTCCTTTCTTTGTATTGCTCATCATGAAGAATTCAGTGACAGAAAGAAAACAGCAGGGCCCAACACAATGGCTAAAATTGGCTAATCCTCCCCTCGCAAACACGGGGATCCCATACAAGTGCCAGTTTGTGTCCCAGCTACGACACTTCCTATTCACCTCCTTGCTTATGGCCTAGGAAAGCAGTAGAGGATGGTCCAAAGCCTTCAGACTCTGCACCCATGAGATAAACCTGGAAGGTCTTCCAGCTTCAGAATAGCTCAGTTCCAGCAACTGCGGCCATTTGGGGAATAAACAGGTGGTTCAAGAAATCTGTTTCTCCTTCTCCAAAAATCTGATCTGCCTTTCCAATAAAAATAAATAAATCTACAAAAAAAAAAAAAAGATAACAATGGAAAACAAAAGAACTATGTAGAATAATTAATAATAAATATGTCACATAATCACCAGATGATCCTAATTTTTCAATCCTCAAATGTGAATTTTTGATCATTTTGAAAATAAGATGTCTTAGATCTTGGGCCTGGCACCATGGCCTAGTGGCTAAAGTCCTCACCTTGCACATGCCGGGATCTCATATGGGCACTGGTTCTAATCCCGGCAGCTCCACTTCCCATTCAGCTCCCTGCTTGTGGCCTGGGAAAGCAGTTGAGGAGGGCCCAAGGCCTTGGGACCCTGCACCCGCATCGGAGACCTGGAGGAGCTCCTGACTTCTGGCTTTGGATTGGCGCAGTACCGGCCGTTGCACTCACTTGAGAGTGAACCATCGGATAGAAGACCTTCCTCTCTGTCTCTCCTATATAACTGACTTTCCTCTCTATATAACTGACTTTCAAATAAAAATAAATAAATCTTTTTTAAAAATATAACGATTTCTTAGATCTCAATATAAAGAAATTTGCCAGCCACCAGGTAGATATTAACCCTTTCATTATCACTTAATTGAGTTTCATACATTTGACTTTAACATGCCAAATAAATTTTAACAAATTGGAATCTCTAATAATTGTGTAAAACAGTTCCTAGAAGACACTACAATGAAGCGAAAGTGAAAATAAACTGTATATAGAAAAAACAATTTGTCACATGTCAAGCAACACAATTAAAGACATTAGAAATTGCCAAATTTGTCAGAATATTTAGAAACTTTTCACATCTAGAAAATGCTGATTTCAAAAATTAGTTTGGGGAGGAGTGGGCGGAATCCCAGTGCCTATAAAACTGTGTCACATAATGCAATGTAATCAATAAAATAAAGAAAGAAAGAAAGAAAGAAAAGATCTTTCAAATGAAAAAAAAAATTAATATATCCATAGCTTTCATCAACTGAAAAAGCTCCTGACTCATATCCAAAAGAAGTTGCTTAACTTCTCAAGGACATTTACTTTAAAGGAAAAAAACATTTACAAGTTTAATAAAAAGAGCAGTTAAAACCAAAGTCTTCTAAAGGTTTCATGTCATTCTCAATTCTATGGTTAGAGAATAATTATCATCTTATTTTTTTTTAAAATCCTACATATTACTACCATGTCTTAGCAAATTATATGTGACAGAAGGCATTCAAAGGCCCAGCATGAAAGCCTAGTAGCTAAATCCTCGCGTTGCACGGGCTGGGATCCCATGAGTGCCAGTTCGTGTTCCAATTGCTCCACTTCTCACCCAGCTCACTTCTTGTGCTTGGGAGGGCAGTCGGGGATGGCCCAAAGCCCTGGGACCCCGCACCAGGGTGAGAGAGCTGGAAGAAGCCTCCAGCTCCTGGCTTTGCATCGGTTCAGCTCCGGTTGTTGTGGCCACTTGGGGAGTGAACCAACAGATGGAAGATCTTTCTCTGCATCTCCTTCTCTCTTTATATCTGACTTTTCAATAACCACATGTGGAAAGTCATGAGTGGGTTCCCCCTTTGTTTCTCCCCTTCTCCCAGGAACAACAAGAAGAAATAGCAAATGTGGAAGCAATTAGTTCACCAAAATTTCCCTAAACCTCGATCCTTCCCACCCTTTTCAACCATGTAATCATAATTTAAAAATAAGACCTGGCACAGTAGCCTAGTGGCTAAAGTCCTCGCTTTGAACACACTGCGATTCCAGATAGGTGCAGGTTCATGTCCCAGCCACCCCGCTTTTCATCCAGCTCCCTGCTTGTGGCCTAGGAAAGCAGCAAAGGACGGTTTAAGTCCTTGAAACCCTGTACCTAGATAGGCAACCGTGAAGAAGCTCCCGGCTCCTGGCTTCACTGGCTCAGTTCAGGCCATTGTGGTTACTTGGGGAGTAAACCAGCAGATGGAAGATCTTTCTCTCTGAAAATCTGCCTTTCCAATAAAAATAAATAAATCTTCTTTAAAAAAATCCTTCAATGCAGACTCTTCTGTAATATTCAACCATGTTTTCTTGTAAAGAAAATTAGCTCTGAGCCTGGCGCTGGAGCCTAGCAGTCAAAATCCTCACCTTGCCTTGAACATGCTGAGATCCCATATGGGCGCCAGTTCTAATCCCAGGAATCCTGCTTCCCATCCAGCTCCCTGCTTGTGGCCTGGGAAAAACATTAAAGCATCGTCCAAAGCCTTGGGACCCTGCACCTACATGGGAGATTTGGAAGAGGCTCCTGGCTCCTGGCTTCAGATCAGCACAGGTCCAAGCTGTTGCAGCTGCTTGGAGACTGAATCAACAGACAGAAGATCTTCCTCTCTGTCTCCCTTCCTCTATGTATATCTAACTTTTCAATAAAATAAAATAAATAAGTCCTGGGGAAAAAAAAAAGGAGTTAGCTCAATAAAACATCCTTTCATTTGTTTTGAGGCATATTTTCAGGTCATATAAACTGAATGACTATGGCCATAAAACATTCAGTTACTAGGCCATCCAAATGTGAAAAACTTCCTGGTAACTGACTAGTAAACTGAAGCTACAATCCACCTCTGTTGCCACAGGGTTAGATCATATAACCACCAACAAACAACAGTGAAATAAAGAAATAAGTTAGATGCAAGAGTAAAAGCTGGGCACTGCCTTAACGTGTTTGCAACTTGCAGCAGGGATTCCATTACTACAATGTCCGAAATTCAAAAAACAAGTGCAGAGAATCATACCACCAACAGAAACTTCACACACTTTTTTAGGTTCGCTTTTTGTCTCAATCGTAGCTAAGCAGCCTAGAATTCACCAGAATGAAGGTAGCTTATTCCACAGGTAGCCGTCTCATCAGTGTGCTACATCATTTCAGCCCCAAGTTGACTGCGTCCTAAATGAATGCACACAACGACCACGTTAAGTTAAAAGCAAATCTAGCAACAATAGTTGCCAATTGCCCACTTTCAAATCGCCTGTCAAAGGCTGACAGCAATAGTAGTATTTACCTTAGTTTCCAAGAATGAAAAAATTTACTGTTGTTGAAAAGCCAACTCCATCTCATTAGTTTTCAAAACTAAAAGAAACAAATACTCAGCTAATAAATCCAGGCAAGAAACAGAAAGATAACTTCTCAGTTATAAATATAATTTCTCATACAGGGTATGACGAAATTACTACAGAAAGACCACACACAGTATTATTTCAATCACAGCCATGAAACTAAGATATTACTTGTCTTCATTGTATTATAGCAAGATATTCTAGCAATTACATAGGTAAAGGAACAAAAACAATCCCTTTTAAAATGAGCTACCAAGAAGTCACTTTAATTGCTGCAGGTATCAAATGCCAATGAACGCTCATAGCATATTTTTCACACACCAAAACACTCTGGGTTTCCTGGAAGCAGACAAGAAAGCAGCAGACAGCCTAAACAGCAGGTAGGACTCACAACCAGTCCAAATCTAGTTGGGATCTGTACCCGGGTAATGAAGACAGAACGGCAATTTCTGACTTGAAATTCAAGATTCCAAGGCGGAGAGGAGAAAAGGGAGTAGGGGACAAATATAGTTCCATAAACAGAGAAGAGCAGGCCGGACGATTTTAAATCTTAGTTAAAAAACAGCACACTGAAGGTCTGCCTCAAAAATAAACAAAACTGCTTCTCACAGGAAACTTTGAAGTGGGCCAAAAGGAAACATTCCTTTGCACCCACAGGAACCAAGCCCCAGGCCACTGGCATGCTGTGACTGAAGAAGGGTCAGGGTTTACGAGCATCCGGCCCGGCTGTTGGGCCAAGGAGAGAAAGAAAGATCTGCTGGAGGGGAGCCTAGCAGTCCAGAGGCCTGAGCAGGCGCACCCTGGGCTCGGGGAAGGAGAGGCGGAGAAGGGCTAGCGCTCCTCACCGTGATTATCTTTCTGCCCGATATTATGTGTGCGGATGAGAGAGGACAATCTCCTCACATCCCCCTTGAAGACGCACTCGTGCACCGGATAGTGTGCGGGGCAACCGCCTCCGTCTGCGACGACAGCGATGGGGCTCGTGCTGGCCACAAGAGCCTGGGATGGGGAGGTGGCAGTCACGGAGGAATTGTGCGAAGGCAGAGTCGGGGCGCCCGAGGGGTTGCAAGAGGCCGGGGCTGCCTTCAGCTGCAACCGGTGGTGATGGTTACTGAAAATCTTATGGCAGGCTTTGCTGCCCTTGCCGCCGCCCGTGCCAAGCCTGCCTCCCGTGAAAGTGCCGCCGAGGGCAGCCGTCGCTTCCTCATCCCCGGGCTCAAGCAGGTCCCCCTCTTCTTTGCTGGGCTTGTGGTCCCTCCGCAGCGAGCGGATCTTCTCTCCGGTCATCGCCGCCACCAGAGACAGCAAGGGGATCCGGGAGGCTCACCGCGGGAGACGGAGCTGGCTCTGCGGCGGCAAAAGGCGATTAGTGCGCCGGCCAGGAGCCTCCAGCGCCGCATGAACTCCCGGAGCGCGGCCGAGCCCGGGACACACGCATCTCCCGCCGACTGGGGCCGGCTCCCGCCCGGGGACGGCGGGACACGCGCGCGCTCGGCTGGAGCTGGAGCTCAGCGGCCCTCGACCCCTCGACTCCCGGTCCCAGCAGCCGCAGTCGCCGCCACTGCCTCACAGCCGACAGCACGGCACGGCCATCTTCCCCTGGCTGCTCTCGTGAGAGCGCCCCGGAAGAGGGCGGAAACACCGCGATAAGTGAGCTGTCCCGCTCCCTCCCTCGCACCGTCGATTCCCAGGCAGCCTCGGGGCGCCGGCGCTTCCCAGCGCTTCCGCCCCCGGCCAGCGCCCCCGAGCCCCAAGGCCTGGACCTGGCGGCCGCCGCGCCCGCGGAAACCTCGACCCACGACGGGAACGTCCTGTGCACGTTATTAAGCGTGACTTCAGCCCTGCGACCTGGGAGCCTCCCGCGGAGTGCGAGGCGACGCCAGCGCTCACAGGATGTGATGTCACTGAGGTGCCCAGGACACTCATTCAGTAAACACGGACTGACCGTCTGCTTCGTGCCGTACACTGCCACTCTGACTCCCAGCACCGTGCAGTAAGAAAAAGGCAGCTAAGTGAGCACAGTATGTTTGTGCTTTGTATGTGGCCACACATGACTATTGAGCTGTGTTTTAAAAAGAGGAGGGGCAACCGTTGGTGTTGAGGAGTCCTGCCAGAATTTAGAGTCTGACCTTGAAACTGATGGGCCATTCAGCAGACAGGAGAAAAAGAAGACTACTAGACTATTTCTGGGGATGAATGAACTTGGGGCAGATGTCAGTTAACACACAGGCAGTAGACATTGGAGCGAAGCAAAGAATAAATCTAACTGAAATATTGCTGCACTGGTTCATGGCTAACCTTAAGCCAGTGTCAAATTCTAAAGAAATGTCAACCTGATCATCAGGAGGCTTTGTAAAGCTAAAAGGCATGGGGACGGGACATTCGTGGTCGTTGGATGGGGTGGGCAATTATTACAATGTGCTAAGACAGTCAGTATGGGGCCACAGCTGTGGCAGGGCTTGTAAGGCTACATCCCCTGCAGGCAGAGGTGTGAATCCTGCAGGTTCCACTTCCCATCCAGCTCCCTGCTACTGTGCCTGGGAAAGCAGTGGGTGATGACCTAAGTGCTTAAACCGCTGCACCCAAATGGGAGACCAAGAAGAAACTCCCAGATCCTGGCTTTTGCCAGAACCAACAGAGGCTGGAAGCCGTAGGGGCCATTTAGTAAGTGAAACAGTGGGTGGAAGAGCTGTTGCTACAACTGCCTTTAAAATACATTTCAAAAACAGAAGAAAAAAGTGTCCTGTATTCCTCTGACCCTCATTTATCTGACAGCTGCTTGTCTTAAATCTTCAGTTAAGTTTTATTATCACCTCTATCCCCATCACATCCCACTCCAGATAAAAAACAAACAAAAAGTCTTATCTGATCCTATCTTCGCCTTCCCCAGGGGCCCTGGAATTTGTTTCCTTAAATTTTGTTTATTTGAAAGGCTTGGGGGCTGGGCAGGGAGAGAAAAGAGAGCTCCCATCTGCTGGTCCACATTCCCAGTGGCTTCCACAGTTGGGGCTGAGCCAGGAGGCCTGGGGTGGCAGAGACCTAACTACTTGAGCTCAGAGCAAGGTGATCAGGAAACTGGAATTTAGAGAGCTGAAACTACTGCTTGGTTCACTCCCACAAAGTATCTGCCTCTGCACTCAGGATTTGAGCTCCAGTCTTTCTAGCTGTTTCAATCACTCAGCTCCCTGTTTATTCCTTTCCTTTTTCATAGAGGGGAATGTGGGGTAGCATTTACATTCTAACGAGATTCTTGAAGGATGCTCCTAAGAAAGCAAAAGAGATTGATTACATATTGCACTATTTTGTTCTTCTGCAATAACCAGCATTTGTTAGCCCATCAGTCACTGTTCATGGAACTTTATTCTGTAATCCTGTGATAAGCATTAGTATCTTTACTTAAATTGAAAACATGTCCAGTACCCCAATACTAGAATGTCACAAAATCACATGATTCTAGGGCTAGAGACAAATCAATGGCCAGATCATGCCAGCCTTTGTATGTGATTCATTATTATTTGTTTAAAGATTTATTTTTTATATTTTTATTGGAAAGTCAGATATGCAGAGAGGAGGAGAGACAAAGAGGAAAACCTTCCATCTGATGCTTCACTCCCCAAATGTCCACAACAGCTGGAGCTGCGCCAATCCAAAGCCAGGAGCCTTTTCCAGGTCTCCCACGCGAGTGCAGGGTCCCAAGGCTTTGGGCTGTCCTCAACTGCTTTCTCGGGCCACAAGCAGGGAGCTGGCTTGGGATCAGGACCGCTGGGATTAGAACCGGCTTCCTTATGGGATCCCGGAACATGCAAAGGGAGGACTTTAGCCACTAGATTACCACACTGGGCCCTGATATTATAATTTTTTAATAAGGTATTTATTGTTATTGGTAAGATAGACAAGATTTACAGAGAGCAGGAGAGATGGGAATATCTTACATCTGGTTCGCCTCCCAGATGACCATAATAGCCCATCAAGAACCAGGAGCTACTTGCAGGTCTCCAACACTGGTACCGGGTCCCAAGGCTTTCAGCTGGCCTCTTCTGCTTTCTCAGGCCACAAACAGGGAGATTGATGGAAGCAGAGCAACTGGGACACAAACTGGCATCCATATGGGATCCTGGTCCGTGCAAGGAGAGGATTTAGCCACTGAGCCATCATGCCGAGCTCTTTATATGATTTTAATAAGCACAGACTTTATTCTATCAAAAGTAAGTTGTATAATCTATTGGGGATTTCAAGCAAGGAAATAACATGGTGAGATTTGCCTTTTTAGAAAACTCCTTAATACTTTAGATAAATGTGTGACAAGAACAGATTATACAGTGACTACACTAAAGAAAATTAAGGGAGGGGGGCGGGATAGCATAGCGGCTGAAGTCCTCTCCTTAAATGTGTGGATCCCACATGGGTTCTGTTTCTAATCCTGGTGGACCCACTTCCCATCCAGTTCCCTGCTTGTGGCCTGGGAAAGCAGTCGAGGATGGCCCATCACCTTGGGACCCTGTACCCGTGTGGGAGACCCGGAAGAGCTCCTGGTTCCTGGCTTTGGATTGGCTTGGTTCTAGCCATGGTGGCCACTTGGGGAGTGAATCATTGGATGGAAGATCTTCCTCTCTGTCTGTCCTCCTCTCTGTATATCTGACATTGCAATAAAAATAAATACATCTTAAAAAAAAAACTAAGAGACCACTGAATAAGTCAAGTAAGATTGTGTTAATAAATGCATGCAGGTTGGGAACAGGGCAGGTTGGTCCAGGCTGTAGCCTAAGCAAGAATATTGGTGGTGGTGGGGTGTGGTGACCACAATATACACCAGCTATACTATAGTATACTATACTAAGTAATGCTGCACATGTAAAATCTGGGTCTATGAGTATGTCTGTTAGGGCACTTGGGAAACTCCTCTGGTAGGCCATACGTACTGCTGTTGAGCATGTGATTCAAGCCTGGCTGTTAGGCCAGGCAAGGTAGTTCCACCCATTAACAAGTATGTGGGTTAGCTCTGGGTTAAGGAGGACTGGGCAGGACCTGGCCAACGTCAGCTCACTGGTATGTGCAGAAGCCAGGCTGGAGTGCTGGTCATTCCAGGCTGAGCTATCACACAACAAATATTTGGGCGAATAGAGACCCTAAGGTGGATTGTGTCAACCAATGGACTTTGGAAGGATTTCCTCATCCCTGGAGGGGTGACATCAACAGCATTTCAGAACTGTTGAAATCACTTGAGCGGAACCCTTGAAGCATGCTGCACATTAGAACCCTGGGATGATGTTGGGTGGCCATTCCCCATCTCTAGGTATTGAGGCGGTTGGGAGGCTGGGAGCAGCTTTTCCCTTTACTTCTCTTTACTTCCCCTGGATACAGGAAGAAAAAAAGGAAAATTTGGAAACAATGGTCTCACCCACTTTCTCCCAATCCTGAACCCTTCCCACCCTAATCTATTAGTAAATATCATCAAAAATAATTTTTTAAAAATAAAAGAAAACAAAAATGCATGCAAGGGGCTGGTGCCGTTGCTCTGTGAGTAAAGCCACCTCCTTCAGTTCCAGCATGCCAGTTTGAGGACCAGTCACTATCCAGCTCCCTGCCAATAGCCTGGGAAAGGAAACCCTGTAGGTTGGAGATCCAGAGGAGTTACCTGGCTTTGGACATCCCAGCTGCAGTGACTGCAGCCATTTGAGGAGTGAACCAGTAGATGAGTATGGGGCTCTCTCTTCTCCACCTCTGTAACACTGCCTTTCAAAGTAAATAAATAAATCTTTTTAAATTTGTAAAAGTAGGAGTCTGATAGAATATATACAATACACATTGTAGATAGCGGTCAACTCTGGGATATGAGATTACTAACTCATTATCGTCATGATATTCCATGAAGATGCTTCTACAAAGAGAAGATATTACTTTTGATTAACAAAAAACTAACAGTTTTGTTAAAAAATTGGGCAGGTAAGAGATGGTGAAAGTCATTAAGTTAGTAAAAATGGGGCACAATGGCTCAGTGGCTAAATCTTACAAGCAGCGGGATCCCATCTGAGAGCTGGTTCATGTCCCAGCTGCTCCACTTCCCATTCAGCTCCCTGCTTGTGGCCTGGAAAAGCAGTAGAAAGAAACCCTTGGGACCCTGACCCGCATGGGAGACCAAGAAGAAACTCCTGGCTCCTGACATCTCACCAACTCAGCTCCGGCTGTGGTAGCCATTTAGGAGTGATCCAGTGGGTGGAAGATCTTTTTGTCTCTCCTTCTCTCTGCAATTCTGCCTATTTAATAAAAGCAAATAAATACTTTTAAAAAAGGTGAGGCTGGAAATTATTTAAGAACTAAACAAGGGCCCGGCGCGGTGGCGCAAGTGGTTAAGTCCTCGCCTTGCACGCCCGGGATCCCATATGGGCGCCGGTTCTAATCCCGGCAGCCCCTCTTCCCTTCCAGCTCCCTGCCTGTGGCCCGGGAAAGCAGTCGAGGACGGCCCAAGGCTTTGGGACCCTGCACCCGAGTGGGAGACCCGGAAGAGGCTCCTGGCTTCGGATCGGCATAGTATCGGCCCGTTGCGCTCACTTGGGGAGTGAATCATCGGACGGAAGATCTTCCTCTCTGTCTCTCCTCTCTGTAT